CCCCTCCCCCTTGCCTGGCAGGCTGTCATTCGGTCCCTGCTCTTCCACTCTCGGTCGCCGGTGGCCGTGACCGCTGGCTTCGACAAGACCGTTCGCCTTTACGAGGTGCGTGCCACTGCCTGGTTCCCTTACTCGGCCTCTTCCCTCGCGTCCTTTGTCCTCCCTGCCACCAGTGCCACCGCCACCACTCCTGGCCCATCTCACCTCCGGCCTTGCTCTGTACCTGCGTGTACGCTCGCCTCCCGCGCGGCTCCCCGGAGCACAGGTTGATGGTCGCGAGAATTCCCAGCTGTTCAACATCCACCTGCAGGACTTCCCGATTCATCGGGCCCAGTTCACCGGCCAGCACTCGGACGACCTGATGGTCACCTCCCGGCGGCCGTTCTACTTCTCCCTGGACCTGGCGTCCGGCAAGCAGACCCGCATCGCCGGCATCATGGGTACATTCCTTCCTTCTGCTCGCCGGCCCTGGGCCTGCCCATTCTGTCTGCCTGTCCGGCCCCTGACCCGTTGGCTTTCCCTCTCTCTCCCTCTCTCTCTCTCTCTCTCTCTCTCTCTCTCTCCCTCCGGCCCGACCCGGCATCCGTCGGACGCCGTCACAGGCATCAAGGAGAAGACCTTCGAGCTGTTCGAGGCCAGCCCGAGCGGGCAATTTGTGGCCATCGTCGGCAGCACCACGCGCCAGGTGCACCTGGTGGCCGGCAAGTCCAAGCTCCTGATCAAAACCCTGCACCACAACCGGCCGGTGGTGGACCTGGCCTTCTCGCATGGGGATGCCACCTCGTCGGCCCCCTCCTTCGGGGGGTTCGGCCTGCCGGAGGGCGACAACACCGCCGGGCACATCGGCATCGATGCGGCCAACACCTCGCCGGTGCTCTTTACCCTGACGGACCGCGGCCAGGTGTACCGCTGGGATCTGACGACGCTCACCTGCACCGGGCAATTCACCGACCAGGGCACCCTCATGGCGTCGCAGATCACCACCTCCCCGTGTGGCCGCATTGTGGCGGTCAGGTATGTGGCCCTGGGCCTCCTCCTCCCTCCCTCCCCCCCCCTCGCACCCCTCCATCTGGCTGGCCTTCGACCTTCCGACTAACCTCCTCCCATTCCCCCCCCCCCCCCCCGACCAGCTCCCACGAGGGTATCGTCAACCTGTATGACTGTGGCCGCGCGCCGAGCCTGACCCTGGACATGTCGGTTCGCCCGGTGAAGACTTTCACCAACCTGACCACCACGATCGACTGCTTGGAATTCAACGCCGATGCCTCGCTGCTGGTGTTCGGCAGCTCGGTCAAGAAGGCCCAGCTGCGCGTGGTGAACATGGCCACGCAGACCGTCTACGACAATTGGCCGCGCAATGAGAAGGCCCTTCCCCTGAGTCGCCTGTCGGCGGTCAACTTCAGCCCCAATGGCGGGGACATGGGCATCGCCGATGACAAGGGCCGGGCGCTGCTCTACCGTCTGGGCCACTCGGCCGAGTACTAAATGCTCGGGAGGGCGGGGCGAGGGAGGGGGGGCGCACCTGTGTGGCCGCTGTCCTCCTGTCACTCTTTGCCGGCTGTCCCGCCTCCCTCTCCGATGTGTGTGCGTGCGTGCGTGTGCATCTGTGTATGTGTGTGTGTGTGCTGCTTTCTCCTCTGTCCTTGCTCGAGAGCGACAACGGATCAGCCAGGGGGGAGGATCCTCGCCTTTTGACACATATGCACGCGTGCCACGCCATCGTCACCGGCACCACTTCGCTGTCCTGTGGCCACCTCACCCTGCCGAACGCCGCTCCCTGGAAAACCAATAGACAAATTAGATGACACCCCCGACTGGCGGCTCGGATCGACCATAACCGGAGGGGAGGGGAGCACAGGCGAGCCAACCCCCGGCGGGGGCGGAATGCATGCAGAAGGGCGCAGGCAAACGCCGAGGCTGGTCACCGGGGAACACACCGGCGGGAGGGAAAATGGGGCGCGGCGCGCACAGACCGGGGACAGAGGGGACTTGGCAATGCATATCGGGATATGTTCAAAAAATGTGTATATATGCATGGGTTTGTATGTATGGGTTTGTATTATACGGAGGGGAATCGCCGGCAGCGGGAGCATGCGCATGGGTCTCGCTCGCTCTCTGTCGGAGAGAGCGGCGAGGGAGGGGCCGGCCGCGCGGACAGGCACGCGTGCACATCGCGCGGGCCCGCGCCCATCACAAAGGGCAGAGAAGGGGGGGGGGGGGATTCCTTTTGTCCTGGCCGTTGGCAGCGTCCGTCCCGGGCCACGATGGAGGGAGAAGAAAGGGGAGCGATACAAGTACAGGTGTGGGAGAGCATGGGGCGCGCGCACAAGCGGGACAGGAGGGCGAAGGGGAGCTGACCCCTCCCCGCCACACAGCAGAGGTGTCCCTTCGCGCCTCCCGCCCCCCCGCGGCCCCGAGCAGGGAGAGAGCGCGAGGGAGAGCGCGAGGGCGAGGGAGAGGGAGAGCGCGAGGGCGAGGGACAGAAGGAGCGGCGGAGGGGAGGGGGGCACACGGGTGGTGGACCAGCCCCCGGTGCCTCGCGCGGGCCGGGAAGCCCCTTAGAAGTCCGCGTCCAGGGTGAACTCGGTGTCCTCCTTGGAGCTGTGCATGACGCCGGCCTTCTGGTAGTCACCGACGCGCTTCTCGAAGAAGTTGGTCTTGCCCTGGAGACTGATCATGTCCATGAAGTCGAAGGGGTTCTCCGCGTTGTAGACCTTCGGGCAGCCGAGCTCCACCAGCAGGCGGTCGGCCACAAACTCGATGTACTGGCACATGAGGTCGCCGTTCATGCCGATCAGGCGAACGGGCAGGGCCTCGGTGAGGAACTCCTTCTCGATGACCACCGCCTCGCTGATGAGGGCGGTGATGGTGGCCACGCTGGGCCGGGAGTTCAGGTGCGAGAAGAGCAGGCACGCGAAGTCGCAGTGGAGCCCCTCGTCACGGGAGATGAGCTCATTGCTGAAGGTCAGCCCGGGCATGAGGCCGCGCTTCTTCAGCCAGAAGATGGCGGCGAAGGAGCCGGAGAAGAAAATGCCCTCCACGGCGGCGAAGGCCACCAGGCGCGTGGCGAAGGTGGACGACTCGTCCTCGATCCAGCGCATGGCCCAGTCGGCCTTCTTCTTGACGCAGGGGATGGTCTCGATGGCGCCGAAGAGGTGGTCGCGCTCGGCCACATCCCGCACATAGGTGTCAATCAGCAGCGAGTACATCTCGCTGTGGATGTTCTCGATGGCGATCTGGAAGCCGTAGAAGCACCGGGCCTCGGCGATCTGCACCTCCGAGGAGAACCGGTTGACCAGATTCTCATTGACAATGCCATCCGACGCGGCGAAGAACGCCAGCACATGGGAGATGAAGTACCGCTCGTTGGCGGTCAGCTTGTTGTTCCAGTCGTCCAGGTCGCGGGAGAGGTCCACCTCCTCGGCGGTCCAGAAGGAGGCCTCGGCCTTCTTGTACATCTGCCAAATCTCATGGTACTCGATGGGGAAGAGGACGAAGCGCCGGGGGTTGTGCTTGAGGATGGCCTCGTTGGCCTCGTCCGCGCGCGAGTGCGGGTCCTGGGCCATCAGCTCGTTGACCAGCTGCCGGGCCTCGGCCTGGGCGACGCTCAGCTCCTGCAGGCGCTCGGTGAGGGTGTCGGGGGTGGGGGACATGATGTTTTCGGTGGGGGGTGGG